ATGGCACCTAACAACAACAACTCTGTAAAACATTTGGTCACAGTGAGTTGGAATTAACTCCACAAGAATGGGTTTGGTTTTTTTGGTTTAATATATCCCATGCAGATTCGGTGAAGGAGGTAAACATACTACAGCTGAGTCTTGATGAGTTTTCAGAACAGAAATAATTCAGAAGAGCCATAATAGTGTTCCTCAATATGCCCCATTGCTCCTTGGAAACCCTATACAGGGTTGCTATGGGTTGGAATCGACTCAATGGCACTTCACAACACAACACAACAAAAATAAGGAAAGGATGTCCGCCCCTTGTACGCTTTAACTTAGTAAGTGAATCATTAAGGGCTAACTAAATTATTAAATTGGTATGCCCCCAAATACTAATAGACTATCAGTACATACCACAGCATCAAACCGGTTATGATAAATTTCTCCTTGGTTCTGCTCAATGTAACGTTGTTTAGCATGAATAAAAGCTGGTATTCCCCCATACACAAAGCCAATGATGCCTGCTGAAATTGCCGACCTATAAATATTCTGAAGTTCTTCAGATGTTCTCTGCTGTTCACTAAAACATCAAAAAGACAAATGTCATTTGGGATTAGTTTGTGGATATTGTTCTCCAAACCATGCCGTGACTAGTTAACACTACCTCACAGATATTGTGCACAGAGTTTATTAAACCCTATAATGAATTAAAAGGAGTCCTAGTGTGGCACTGTAGGTTAAGCGTAGAGCCACAAGGTTGCTTTGAACCACAAGGTCAGTGGTTCAAACTCACCAGTAGCTCCTTGGAAACCCTATACTGCGTCGCTGAGTCTGAACTGACTCGACAGCATTTAACAAAAACAATGAATTAAATGGTGCAGCTATATCAAAGCTAGTTCAAATGTCAGGTAAAGCTAATCTATGCTGTTAGAAATTAGGATAGTAATCTTAGGTAGGTAGTAACTGGAAAGGAGCAAAGGGAAGTTTGTGGTATGTTGGCAATAGGTTATTTCTTCCTGGGTGTTACCTACCCAGTTCAGGATGTAAGAATTCATTGAGTATTGTTGCTATGGACATTTTTCTAATGAATACTACATAAAAAGACCTTTGAAAAGTCGCTTTTCTTCAATGACTATTAACCACTATGCCCCTAAGAAACAGGAACAATTAACTCATGTTATAAATATAGAAATCAGTATTTTCATTCTTAAATTTCACATTAACTTTTAAAAATTACACAAATTCATTAGATTTTAGGATAACATATACAGGAATGAAAATATTACGAAAGGGTTTACAGAAAAAAACATACATGTATTTGTTCTTGTTCTTAAGTACTGTGGAATTGGTTCCAATTCATAGCGACCCTGTATAAGGTTTCTGAGGCTATAAATCTTTATGGGAGCAGAAAGCCTCATCTTTTTCCCACGGAACGGCTGGTAGTTTCAACTGCCGACCTTGAGGTTATCAGCCCAACTCATACCCACTATGCTACCAGAACGCCTAACCAATGAGTAGTGAAGAAAAAAATTCAGTGGCATAGCAGTGGAATCTAGATTGTAAGAATCTAGGCCATAATCTATACAGACTATAAAATGAAGTTGTAGTCCTGCTTCTGCTGCTAGACCTGCAGGTCACAGTTTATCCAGACCATGGTCTAATCCATGACACTGACAAGAGAACAGAAGGTACATCACATGATCTTTTCTTTCTTTGAGTTCCAATATTCTGTGGTTTATACAGTTAGAATACTCTTACTATATACTACACAAGATCTTTCACAAGTATCACAAACTGATATTGGAAAGTCCACTGAACAAATATTGGAAAAATCACTGTTTCATCATTTAAAATTACAAGGAAACTAAGTAATTAAATGTCACCAGCTCTCTTGCCCTCAACTATCTCAGCAATTAATAAAAGTTTCGATTTTAATCGAACATATGAGAACATTATGTAGCATGGCAAAATACTTCAGTAAAGCTGGTCCAGAGCAAAGTTCTCTTCAATAAATGGTGAGTTAATACATAAAGAAATCAGTGAACTATTGAGTTTTTTATTAGATACAATTAGTTGAATTTTGGAGTCCTGGTATGGTGCTGTGGGTTAATATGCCAGACTGCAAATCCATTTGAACTGCAAGGTCGGCAGTTCAAGCTCACCATCCGCTCCTAGGAAACCCTGTACAGGGTCGCTATGGGTCAGAACCGACTCGACGGCAACAACAACAGTTGAATTTAATGGGGTATTTTTTATTCTGAAATAACATCCTTATTTAGGAATCCAGCCAACATATTTTTGTTTATAAAATGATGAGACAACAGTTGATGCTATATATTCCTTATTTGCAAAATAAAAATTTGACAACTCTCTTTGTTCCCTTACCAGCACTTTTTGTGGGAGGAGGGGGGATTAGGAGATTATAAAGTTTGAAATACCAAACTTTAATACGAAAAATAATATTGGAAAGGGAAACTGGAGATGCGGGTTTCAGGGCCAGCTCTGCCACTGATTAGTTTGGTATAATTTTCTAGTCTGTAAAGGGAGATTACACTAAATATCCCCAAGAAGTTTTACTTTTAATGAGGCCAATCCTTACCATTTGAAAATTGTTCTATCAATCAACTACAAAATGGCAATGTCAGAATATATGCTTGCTGTTGCTAAGTGCCGTGTGTCGGTTCTGACCCACAGAGACTCTGTACAGTTTCCAAGGAGCAAGTGGGTGAGCTTGAACCGCCGACCTTGAGGATAAAACTAAACTGATTTTGCAGTCCAGCCCATTAACCCACAGCGCCACACCAGGGATCCAAATATATGAGGAGGGTTCACATATTAGAATCACAAATTCTATTAAAAAATAGATCACAACACCCAGGGGGCCTTCGCCAGGGTCATCCAGGCTGAAGGACACCACTTCACGGTCCCTCCCCACAGACCCTATACACTTTTACTCTTTAACAAACAGCTCCCGGAGATGGTCCCATCCGGATTCCGAGATTTGGGATTCTGGGACGTAGAGAGACAGGTTCTGTCCCTCCGCAGAGGTCTCAGAATCAGCGTCCACAGCTTCAGCAGCAAAGACCCGAGGGAAAGGACCTAGCGCTCTGCGGAGGAAACTCTGTGGAGTCACCGGCGGCTCCCCCATGACCCTCTCCGGTCCTACAAACAAACTCACTCACGGGCCTCAGGACCCCAAGGTCGCCCGGAGGCGCCTCGAGAGAAAGTTAAGGATGAACGAGTTCCCGAACACAGAACTCAAAACCACTGGGTGCTCTAATACCCATTTCTCATTTTAGAAGCCCTCAGAACATGAGACAGGAAGTCCTGCCCCAATCAAAGGCAAAGGCAGAGGAGCTGGGCGGAGCCGAAACAGAAATCACTTCCGGTTGAAGGCGGGACGAGCCAGCAGCTATCGATGCCCTTGGCTGGAGGTGGTTGGGTAGGCGGTGTGCTGTTTGCGCAAGCCGTCTGATTCCGCACATCGCCCCGGACGTCGGGTCGTGGGATATTGCTACTTGCCTTTG